TTGCCAAGCACAGTTTGGGCAGCGACCCTCGAGAAGGACCTGTTGAGGGCGACGGAAATCAACTTGTTATCAGAATTCCCAAGAGTAATGGGGCGAGTGACCTCGGGCTTACGAATGATGTGCTGGGGGGGTATCCTCTGGGTCGCTGCCCTTGGCGAGGAAGACGGCCATGCCATGGTTAAAACCGACAGGGGCGCTTCCATTCGCGAGCATCTCGGAATAAAGTCCATCAAGAGTGTCGACAACTGCAGGCCCTCCCTTGGAATAACAACTGCACGGAAGGCCGTCGGGACCAGGGGCAGAGTCCGAAACCTTGGAAAGGAGGCAGGCAAACTCCTGGGGTTCAAGCTTCCAGATGATTTCAGGCGGGCAAGGTTGAATGAATTCACTAAGCAGTTGTCGGTCCTCTTCCGAGCAGTCGACACACGAATGCACTCGGCCCCAGTAAGCTGCGAGCTCGGCGGCGACGCACTCTGGATCTGCGATGGCCTTGCCAGTCGGATCCGAGACGCCAGATAGAGAAATAAGCCGATGCTTCCTTCCCCACGCTGTTTGGTATTTGTACAGCTTGATTTTGACGTCACGCTTGCGGGTATCTGAAATAGCTTGCTGCTCGACTTCATTGATTTGCTGAGAGATGAGCTCGTGCTTCATTTCGTTCAAGTGGGAATGGAAGCTCCGAACGTCAATCCACATGGCAGGCTCTGGGTCGAGGAAGCGGCTCAGCACGGGGTAGGCCAGGACAGCCTTGCGCACCAGCCAGAGCTGACCTCGCAGAGTGCCTCGAAGCGCTGAAAGAGACCATGCAATTTTCTCCGCCAACGACTTGTTGGCCTGCTCAGCGCTGAAGTTGGTAACATCCTTACACGCCTGTAAAAGGATGCCCTTGGTCCGCGAGTGCTTTTTCGAACGGATCGTCCGAGAGCGGCCCCGCCAAAGAAAGTAAATCACTGACAGCGACAGGAAACTGCGAACGTTTGGTGGCCCACCTTGGAACACGAAAACCACAGCTGGACCCAGGGCTGAGCGCAAGACATACGGGGGCATGGCCCGAGAGTTTGCCAACCTTCGAGATGGGCTCCAGGGTGGGGGCCTTGGGGTGGTATTCAAGAATGGTAGCGCTGAACATGTTAGTGTAAATACGATCGATACGACTGCAGCTTTGCACGACTTGAACTCCTTCCTCCTCCTGAATCACCCGGCGCGTGAACGCGGGTTGCTCGACCTCGCAAAGATCAGCGAAGCGCTGCTCGAAGAAAGCGGCGGCGTCGGAACTGGAGTAATGCACAGCGCCCGAGACATGGAAGCTGCCCTCCCCCGCCGCAGGAAAGTTAAAATCGCCTAAGACGAAGCCCGTAGCCACAGAGGGGGGAGTAGAGCACGTCTTACAAGCATAAGATGATGTTTCTGGTCGCGAAGGGCGAGACAGGGATCGAGATGAATGTTGAGAAGCTGCAACGCCCCACGGCTGCCCCCCAGCGTGAGAGACTGAATTCGGCCCTGTACAAGGACAGAGTAGCGACAGCATTGGAAATGACTTCGAAGATCGGGGTGCAGAAAAATGAGAACACCTCCCGCGGACCTGTCGTCGAAGAAAGACCCAATACCCCAAATGTCATGGACTTCAGAACACAGCCTCTGGAGGTCGAACTTGGTGCCTCTAGCTTCCTGAATGCAAACCACCTGGAACTTCTGGACATCGGATACAAGGCGAGACATGTTTCGTTTGACGATGCCCAGAGTCGAGGTGATGCCTCCAAAAAGCGATCGAGCATTCCACGAAACGATACTCAAGTGAGACTCCCAGATAAACGGTGAATGAGTCCAAACCCCAGGAAACGGAGAGAAGCAGGAAGGCCCAAAGGAAGATGGTAAACAGGACCCACTCGAAGAGGTCGAACCAGTTGAAGACCCAGACGACCCAGAAGAGGAGGACGAGGCGGCCGATGAGCTCAGACACCTAGTGGAGGAAGGCGACGGAGGGTAGGGAACACGCATCCCAGCCACGCAGGCTGGTTCAAACCTGGTCGGCGAGGCACTCGTTCAAGACGAGCGCGCAGCTGTGATCATAGAGCTGGCCTGGTCGGCCGAGATCTGAAAGGCGGCGATGCCGACGGGGTGCGGAGAAATCTCGAACTGGCCGACGTCCTGCTCAGCAACGGAGAAGAGCTCGTGGACCACGTCGTTGCCAGCGCAGAAGAGGATGCCCTTGAACCCGTTGACTCCGAGCTTGTGCGTGGCGTCGTTCCACTGACCAGTCTGCCGAAGGTGTGCATTGACCAGCTGCCAGATCTTACCGAGGAACTTGTTCTTGTGGCGAACGGAGGTCGGGGCATCGCGGCGGCAACGAAGCTGGACCTGCGAGTTGGAGTGGGAGTCGTTCCACAAAATGTCTTGGGCACGAGCGTGGTCGATGAAGGAGGACGCGTCGACGTTGCTGGCGAACTGGATTGAATAGCTCTTTGCAAGATTGTGACCCTTGATGACGATGCCTGCCTGCCTAATGTGCGTAGGCAAGCTCTGCACGAGGAGGTTGCCGTGCTCCTCTAGCGAGGCCTTGAGCATGGGTCTGGTGAAGCCGCCGACCCAGACCTTGAGCGGGTTGAACTCATCCTCGTGTGAGCGGCTGGTGCTGCTGCCTGCAATAGACGGAGGCGTACCAGTACGGCGTCGAGAGGTAGGGGGGCCTGAGACGTCTGAACTGCCACTGGAACGTGAAGACTGAGAGGACTCGATCGCAACCATGCGTTGCTCCATGTGGATGCGCAGAGCGGCGACGGCGGCAGCGTCCGAGGAAGTGGCGATGCGAGACTCAATCGTGTTGATCCCCTGCGTGACTGCGGCCATGTTCCTGTCGTGCGACGTGATGCTCTCTCTGAGGGAGTCGAGCGCGGACATCGAGGACTCGACAGTGGCCAGACGCTGGTTGACACCCCCGAGCTGCTGCAGGATCTGCTTGATGCCTTCCTCGACCGACGACATGGCGGGAACTGGGAGAGTGTCTGGGAACTGGGGGCGACAGAGACGGGATCTGGGAGAGTGTCCGCCCAGGCACGACACCTGGGATGGCTCCGAACAGAGCTGCCCACTCAAATCGCGGATTGCCCTGCAACTTGAGCCAAAATGGCAACGGAGAAAGGAGGAGGAGGAGGAGGAGGAGGAGGAGGAGGAGGAGGAGGAGGAGGAGGAGAGAGCTGCCCGAGAACACCGCGCACGCCCACCAGAATGCAGGGGCCCGTCCATGGCCTTCCGCGGGGCCCGGCGCGGCTCGGTATAGCGACGGCCTCTGCCCACGCCACGTCCACGGGCAGCCTAGGCCCCGTCGTCGGGGACCGTGTGCGGAACGACGAACCAGAGCTCGCAGGACCACGCGAACGTTCTCTTATATAAAAGGGCCCAGGGGCACACAAACAAATACCCAAAAAAAAACAGGGTTCCCCCTAGTTTCTCATATAGTTTTCCTGGGTTTTCATCTTCCCGCCCACACTTCCCATATGTTCCCAGATTCTCCTGGGAATCGACGATCCATTGTCTCTGTGTGTGTCTTCCCCTCCTGAAGTCCGCACGACCATGCGAACGTTCTCTCATTCCGCGTTCCGACAAGGGGCGGATGCCTAGTGCGACTGTCTGCAGCGGCGCGTGCTGTGGGGGAGACCCCACCTGCTTGAAAGCGGGCGCCAAAAGCAGGCAGGGTCTGCCCCACTGGGGGGGGGGGAAAGAGGGGGGCCCGCGCCGACGGCCAGGACAACGAATCAACGAGAGAACGATCGCCACGAAGAGCTTCTTGCTCGGGAGCGGCCAAGAGGGGGGCGTCCAAGAGGGGGGGGTGCAAGTCATGACCGGCGGCATGTGCGCGGCCCAGCGGGGGGGCCAGGGACGTAATGAAATAAGAGGAGGCGCCATGAAATCTGGGGAAATATCATGGCCCCCGCCATGATCTCCACCCCCCCCTAGTCATCACCCCCCTCTTTTCCGCCCCCGAGTTGCGTTCGGGCCGCGGCTCGAGAGCCGACCTCGCCGGCAGGGGCCGGCACTCGGCGCGGCGTCGGGGGCACGAAAGTTGCGGGGCCGCCCCGCGGCGGCGCGGCGGCCTCTCTCCGCAGGCGGCGGGGTGCGCGCGGGTGCGGCGACACGCCCACGCCGCGGCTGCCACTCGCAGGGGACCACAGGCGAACCTTACTCGTATGGCGCTCTCAAGCCCGTGCCTTTTCAGTACGCGTGTCAACGTTTCGCCCCTGCTGGGGCTCGTCAGGACTCGAATGAAAATGGCAGCGGCATGCGAACACAGCAAGTGCATGATCGACACAATACTGCGTGCAATGCGATACGGCAAACAAAAACACATGCATGCATGCGGCGATCTCTCAACAACACCCCTGTATTGGATGACTGCTGGTTCTGCCCCTATCCTCAGGTCGGCCTGTCCCCCATGCAGGAGGATTTGGGACGAAAAAAATAGTCCGACAGTGCCCAAAAATAGTCAAAACGTGCTCAAAAGATCGTCCCCGGACCATGTTTCATTATTTTTGAATGTTCCTCCTGTAGAGGGACAGGCCCGAATCAACCCTAGCCCCCTCGGAAATCATGGGGGCCTACGGGTGGGGTTCGCATGTGGTCCCCTGGCTCCCGCGAGAGCCCGCCCAAGCGCTGGTGCCTAAAACGCTCCAACCAGGGCCACCAACACCACCAACGCTGGTCGCTGTTCGAGGATGCGGAAACACGCAGCAACGACGCACTGGCCGGCCGTCAGCGGCAAAAAGCCACTGCACGGAGCTGTGTCTTCAGAAAAGGCTTCGCCAGGCCAGTACGACCTAGATGAAAAAACTGAGAAACATAAAGGAAGGGAAGATGAAGAAGCAATTAAAAAAGCAGATACGACAACAAAAACAACATAAGCTCCACGATCCGCCGTGACCAGAGACGAGATGTCGTTGGAACCGGGGCCACGCGTCAGGCCTCGCACGCGTACTGCTCCAGATCGAAGCACACGGGCCCCCACGTCAGGATCCAGAGCGTGATGCAGACCGCAGACCCGAGGTTGATCGCGAAGCCAGCGCCGGCCATGTCCACGAGCGTGAACTGCTTGGTAGCGAACACGACGGCTCGGCGGCGAGCGAGGGGGCGGGAAGTGAGAAGGTTCGAAGTCCCCCCGGCCTTCTGAGAAGTGTTCTGAGCCTCCCCCGAAGACGCAAAAGAACTTCTCAGAAGGCGCGAGGGCTTCTGAGAAGTCCCGCCGCCTTCTGAGAAGGCCTTCTCCTTCTCATTTCCCACCCTCGCTCGCCGCCGAATGGCATTCGGCGGGGTCGCAATGGGCAGCATGTAGGCGCAGCTGCAGGCGATCCCGGCGGGCACCATCAGCACGACAGGAGAGAGGCCTAGGTGGCACGACATGCTGCCCAGGACTGGCAGCAGGATGCTCGCCGTCGCGACGTTGCTCGTCAGCTCGGTGAGGAATGTCACCAGCAAGACCGTGACGAGCACCAGCAGCACGGTCGGGCAGCCTTGGAGGGAGGCCAGCGCAGCTCCGATATTGCCAGACAGGCCTGTCTTGAGGAAGCCGTCTGCGATCGCGAACCCCGCGCCGAAGAGCAGCAGGATGTCCCAGGGCGTCTTCAAGAATGTCGCCCAATCTAGAAGCGGCGCCCTCACGCCGTCTGCGCCCTCCGCGTGGACGGAGAAGAGCAGCACGGTCGCCGCTATCGCCACGACCTCGTCGCCGATCGAGCAGACCGGCGCCGCCGCGTCCGGGCCACACCCCAGGAAGGTCAGCGACGGCTCGCGCAGCACCCAGCCCGCCACCACCAGCGCAAACACGGCCGAGACCCGGCACTCTGCCTGGCTCATGGGGCCCAGGCCCAGGCCGGCCTCGGAGAGGACCGCCCGGGGGGGGCCCGCCGCCACGTCCCGAAGCGAGAGCCCGAACCGGAACACGAGCAAGAGCCAGATCAAGAGCAGCATTACAGTGGCCAGGGGTGCAGCGAAGCCCAGCCACTGGACAAAAGAAATTCGCCGACCCCTTGGGGAGGGGTCTGCGGCCTCCCCGGCAGCCTGATCTGGCCGTCTCGGAAGGGGGGGGGCCCAGCCAACGACCCCTGCGGACTCACCTGGCCCGCTCAAAAACTCGGCCAAGAGAGCTGCATGATGGTCCACATCTGCTCTGGGACGGCCTGAGACAAGTCCAAAAAGGCCACAGATGGCCTCAGCACCGTCCCAGAAGCTCCCACGACGGAAGAAGAAACCAGAAACGGCCCAAGAGGACCCAAAATGCCCCTAGGGCTGCCTAAGAGATCCCCATGAGGGCCCCAGGAGGGGAAGCTCGAAGTGCCCCTGGGAGCCCTCCCCCACAAGATGGCCCCCAAGACCCCCAACATGCCCCCGAGAGGGCCCCCAGAGGCCTCAGAGGCTTCCAACAGGCCCCCGAGAGGCCGCCCCCAAGAAGAGGCCATAGAACGACCCCACAGGGACCGCTTTGAGCACAGTGTTGGGTTACCCAGATGTACGCACGGCACCAGGCAGTGTTTACGAAAACGCCCCCAGAGCACCGGAATCCTGGGCTCCAACGGGGTCGGCAGCGCGGCGGAAGCCGATGAATCTCAATTCCGAACCGCGACAGCTGCCCCATCAGCACGCCGTTCGTGGGGGTGCCGATGATGGTGCCCACTCCCCCGGTGCTGGCCGCGTAGCACACGCTGAGCAGAATTGCCTTCGCGAAGCCTCCTTCCCCCTCGACGCTGGCGGCCACGGACTTGACGACGGGGAGGATCATGAGCGTGGTGCTAACGTTGGAGAGCAACATGCTCAGCAAGCCTACGGACAACATCATGCCGAGAACGATGCCGCTCGGGCGGGTGCCCGTGAAGCCCAGCATGCCGAGGGCAACCCGGCGCTGGACTCCGGCCCTCTCCACCGCGAAGGCCAGCTGAAAGCCGCCCAGGAAGAGGAAGCACAGGCGGTGGCTGTAGCTCCTCACGGTCTCCTCCACCGAGAGGATGCCCAGCGCGGGGAAGAGCACCACGGGCAGCAGCGACGTGACCCCCAGCGGCATGGCCTCCGTCAGCCACCACGTCGCGACCCAGAAGGTCGCCCCCACGAGCAGCTGGGCGCCGCGCGCCACCCCCGCGGGGGCCCACAGGGCGAGGCAGCCGCCCAGCGCCGCGCCGCCGGCCGGGCCGAGCCAGAACCCCACGGCCGCCGCGCGCGGGGCGGGGCCGAGCCCGCTGCCGTCGGACTCGCTGCCGTCGGACTCGCCGGCCCACGGCGCACCCAGGAGGCCGTCCGAGTCAGAGGACTCGTGGGCGCCCGCGGCGGCGGGGGGCGCCATGGAGGGAGGCCGCCCGGCAGGCGGCCGCGGCCGCGGCCGCCACCGCCCGGGGCGGGCCAGGCGCAAAGGGCGCCAGCGACTCGAGGCAGTGGCCGCGGGAGGTCGCCCCTCCGTCTCGCGCGGCCCCTCCTCCCGCCACGCCCCTCTCGCGCCAGCCTGTCTCCCCTCCCCGCTCCCTCCCCCCATTCCCCACCCCCGCCACAAGTCTCACGCAGATGGCGCGGATGTGTACGGGGGCGGGGCACTGGTGCGAAGCTGGTCGTGGCATCAGGAGGGCGAACAACAGCACCGCTTCTCTGGTCAGCTGGCGCAGGGCAGCACCGGGCAATTTGCTCGACACTGGCACTGGCATGCTTGCACTCCTCTCCTCCGAAAGACGCTATCCTGGGGAATTGCACGAAGAACAGCACAAGATGAAGCTGCCCACTGGAGCGCGCCGCGCCATTACACCGCACACTGGTGCTTCGCCACAAGGGCACGAAGATCCCAGACGCCCGACGCCGCGGGAGGAAAGGCGCCATGAAATCTGGGGAGATATCATAGCCCCGGCCATGATATGCATCCCCCCTAGTCGTCAACCTCCTCTTGGCCGCTCCCGAGAAATCCGCCGGCCCCTTTGTGTGGTCATCAGGCTGCGCGGGTAAGGTTTCCTGCAACGTGCTCGAGTTCCCACTCCAGTCTCCAGTGCCATAATTCTACTTTCTGCTTCCTGCTGTAAATTGTTAGCACGTGCGACCCGGGGAGGAGGCGAAAGCCATAATTTGTACCACGTCCGAATCTCGTTGCCTGAAGTTCTGGTGGGTGTTGGACACGTGACAATTCATGAATTCCGCTCCCCCAGGGCCATAGCCCCTTGTAAATGAAAGATCGCGCCACCGAGGACAGAATCTCCGACTGATTACACCAGATTCACGATCCCGAGGCCAGACTCCCGAAATGGCAACCTGCGCCAGGTTCGCGCTCCCGATGCAAAAATATGTTGCAACCTGCGCCAGGTTCGCGCTCCCGAAGCCAGAACCTCCCCATGATACCGCGCATCGTCGAACCCGCAACCTCCAACACTCACTGGAAGCCCAACCAATCTGCACGCCACGCGATCCCCCAAGAGGCCCCAACGTCGCCACGGCAGGATTCAATGGCGCGCGGGCCTTCCCCTTTGGCGGCCCCACTGCGGGCGCCAGGCGACATTTGCAAGCAGCGCGGTCGGCAGTGGCGTCTGGCTAGGAGTTGGACCCCGTCCAGGATGACCTTGCACGGGAGTCACTGGCGTCCAGCATCTCAAGGGACCGGCGGAGTCATTCTCTGGCTTGCAGCGCGAACCTCTGCAAATGAGGAAGGGAAGATGCGATGGCTTCAACAAGCCAGGCAGACTGGAGGACTCCATAATCTACGACCTCAATACATCGTGGGAGCACCGAACGCGAGTCTCGGCGGGGCCCTCCAGCTCCCCTCGGCTCATGGCCGGCCCCAGCTGGCCCAAAGGCGGCTCGACGGCGGCTCGGGAGGAGCCCAGGCGTCCCCGAAGCGGACTCCCAAAGCCCCCAGACGTCTCGAAGATGCGCCAAGATGGCTCCACGACGCCAACAAAAGACTCCACGGTAGCTCCACGTGGCCATGGAGCCTCCCCATGAGGCCCCCAAGCCACAACCATCCTCCAAAACCAAACGAGCCTCGCTCTATCTCGCCCTCCGGGGAGCCCACCGTGCCTCCCGCTCTGCGGGCTCGCACATTGCCTTCGAGCTAGCACGCTCAATGTGCGTTGGACAGTTTCGTTTCGACGCAGATGCGTGTTTGTCGCTTGCGAGCGACCAAGCAAGCAACAATCACGTCACGAATCCTCCACGCACGTCGAGTTCGATAGCATAGAAAAACTAAATGTGAGCGCGATAGTGAGAAACATGCGCTTGTTTGCTGCCCAGGAGCAAATAAGCCAGCGCTAGTGACGTCACGATGACCGGCTGTCCTCCCATGAGGGTACGACCTTGCTTCGGGACGGCGCCGAGGCATCCCCACGTGGCTCCGGCGCGTCCACTGATGACTTAGAGGAAAATGGCAGCAGACCGGAGGGTTCCAAAGGAGGTTTTTGGGGAGCGGGTTTTCCAGGAGGGGTCCCCCAGGGGCTTCGCACCCCTATTTTGACGAGGTTCCGAGGCCTCTGGGGGGCTCTCTGGAAAACCCCCTCCCCAAAAAACCCCTTTGGAGCCCTCCAGGCAGAGGGCGAAGCCCTGACAGATGCACGACGCAGCCAAACAAGACCACGATCACGACGGGAGCTCGTCGACCCTTCGTGCGCCTCCGGGCGCGCTTTCTCCGGGCTGGGGCTGCGTGAGGCCAGCCTCGGGGCACTCGGGGGGGGGGGCCCACCGGGGGAACACCCAGAAGGTGCCGAGCACCGCCGCCTCCTGGACCGCTCCTGGGGTGCGCTCCAGCCAGCATTCCAGGGCGAATCCATCCGTGGCGACGAGGGCCTCCTCCGAGAGCGGGGGAGGGCAGCGGCCTCGATGCCTCTTCCTGCCCCTGACCAGCGCGTGACGCCAGGGAACTTACATCCTGCGCTGCCCTGCGCCCGCCGACGGCGGCAGCGCTCGAGCCCGCCCGCGGTGCTACCGCTGCCGCCGCCGCCTGCGCCGCTCGAGCGCCGGCGGTAGCGCGCCGGGAGGCAGCTCGGGCTCCGTGTCGAACTCGGCGTGGTACCTGGCGAGCGGCTGTCTGGACATCATCGCCGTCATAATCCTCCTCATCCTCATCGTCATCCTCTCGTCCTCATCATCATCCTCATCGTCGTCCTCACCCTCATCATCGTCGTCGTCGTCATCATTATCATCATCATCATCATCATCATCATCATCATCATCATCATCATCAGCAGCAGCAGCATCATCAGCATCATCATCATCATCAACAGCATCATCATCCTCATCAGCAACATCATCGTCATCATCATCATCATCATCATCATCCTCATCATCATCCTCATCATCATAAGCATCATCATCAGAATCAGCATCAGCATCAGCATCATCAGCATAGTCATCGGCATCATCATCATCATCATCATCAGCAGCAGCAGCAGCAGCATCAGTATCATCATCATAGTCATCAGCATCATGTTCATCATCATCATCATCATCAGCAGCAGCATCAGCATCATCATCAGCAGCAGCATCAGCATCAGCATCATCATCATCATCATTAGCAGCATCATCATCATCCTCATCATCATCAGCAGCAGCATCATCGAAATCGGCATCAGCATCATCATCAGCATCATCATCATCACCATCATCATCACCATCATCATCATCATCATCATCATCATCATCGTCACACTCAGCATCAGCATCGTCGTCATCATCGTCACCAGCATCACCATGATCATCATCATCAGCAGCATCAGCATCATCATCACCATCATCATCAGCATCATCATCATCGTCGTCACCATCGTCATCATCATCATCATCATCATCATCATCATCAACATCGTCATCAACATCATCATCATCACCATCAAGGTCGTCACAATCAGCGTCAGCATCAACGTCATCATCAGCATCATCATCCTGCTCGCCGCATCAGCATCATCGAGATCACCGTGACTACTACCCTGAACACCCATCGTGTTTCTTCCTCCTCCTCCTCCTCCTCCTCCTCCTCCTCCTCCTCCTCCTCGTCCTCCTCTTACCCCTCCTCCTCCTCCTCCTCCTCCTCCCTCCTCCTCCTCCTCCTCCCTCCTCCTCCTTCTTCTTCTTCTTCTTGCCGCTTTGGGGCGGTCGGGAGCGGCCGCGGCCGGACTAGGCCGCGGCGGGACCCTACCGGCCGAGCAGCCACGGCCACAATGGCTTGCAACTACTTATTAAGAGAGGACACTTTCCCGTCCTCTCTGTCCCCCCGTGGCCAGGACGCACCAGGCGGGGCAGCCGCGTGATGGTAGGAGTGGCGCTCAGCAACTCCTCCAATTTAGCTTCGCCTGACCTGGTGCGACCTGGGGGGGTGGGAGGGTGGGCGGCGAGCGAGGACTTGCCTCGCTAGCCCCCCACGCCGTCCCGACCCCCTTGCGATCATCGCGGACCTGCCGCGCATGCATGGCAAGGTGGGGGATTGGTGGTTGCGGGGAGGTGGCCAGGCTTGCTGAACGCAGCTCCCTCGCACCAACATGTTCTTCCTCCTCCCCCTCCTCCTCCTCCTCCTCCTCCTCCTCCTCCTCCTCCTCCTCCTCCTCCTCCTCCTCCTCCTCCTCCTCCTCCGCATCCTCTTCGGCCTCGTCCTCGCCCGCCTTCCCCGCCGGACCGCTCCGGGACAGCGCGGGGGTCCCGCGAGCGAGCGCGAGGGGAGGAGCACGAGCAAGAGCGGAGGAGGAGAATGAAGGGGAACTGGGACACACAAATAAATACACACAAATAAAAATATCCCCCATATTTTCCCATATTTTCTGGGTTTTTGTCTTCCCGCCCAATTCCCATATTTTCCCATATGTTCCTAAAAATCGACGAATAATTGTGTCTGTGTGTTTTTTCCCCTCCTGAGAGAAGAGGGGCACGAGGAAGTGGAGGGAGGAGGGGGAGGGGAAGGAGAAGACGAGGGGAGGAGGAAAAGAGAACAGGCGCAGGCGGGGGAGGCGCCTGGGCAGGAGGAGGGGTGGAGGAAGGGGAGAGGCGGGAGGAGGAGGAGCAGCAGCGGGAGGCTCCAAGAGAGGCCGGCCCCTGCTAGGGATCTAGCTGTGCTGGTCTGTCGCATTTGAGCGTATCGTAGGTTGCAGTACGTTCAGAGGCAGCGTTTTGCGGCGCACAAACAACATATGATTGGGATAAGAGGAAAAGGATAAGGAGGAGATTCAGGAAGGTAGCAGAGTAGACAAAGTGCAGCAGAAATCATCAAAACCCTCCATCCACATCCTCAAAGCATGGGCGCGCCAAGAGAACAGCGGCACGATGGTGAGCCGCTCTGCCTCAAAGCGGACAGGAGTGGTCCAGACACCTCAGCTGCAGAGGGCCAGAGGAAGCAGAGAAAGACATGTTTGCCCGCGTGGACCCCCAACAGTGAATTATTGCACTCTGGATGCGGAAAAAACAAAACTGCGGAATATACGTGGTGCACGCTACGTGCTACAGCATCCGTAGCGCAAGCTATGTGGTACAAGATGCCTGGTGCAAGAAATGCGGTGCGAGCTGTGTGGTGCAAATCTTACCGGTGCAAGCTGTATGCGTGGCGACGCGATACCCACGAGCTGCGACGGGGCGGGAACCCTGACAACCCAGCCAGCGCACGGCGCGCCCACGGGGGGCACCCACGGGCGCCCCCCCGGACACAAAAACCAAACAGCCATCCTCCGCGCACGGGGCGGTCACGAGGCGCAACCGGGCGCCCGCGACGCGAGAAACCTGACAGCCAGCCACCACGCACGGGGCGTCCCCTTGGGCCAAGCCCCAACAACCAGGTCCAACGACGTGGAAGAGAAGCAGCAACCGCCAAGTGCAAGCAGTCTGGGGAAAACAGACCCCTACGACCCTGACTTCGCCACGTCGGCTTCTCTCGTAGGCAGGTAGACCGAGACCATGAACCAGGATCGATTATGCTACAAGCCCATCTGCACTGGTCAATCCCGCCACCCCACGGGGCGGAGGTGACTCCGCACATCAGCTCTTCCAAAACCACCCGTCTTCACACTTCCCCTGGTTCTGGGCCGAAGGGGTAACGAGGCACTAGAATTAAAGGTAACTCCAAGCGGCTCCAGACAATCCCAGATGTACCCCAAGATGGCGTAAACCAGATTAGCGTAGATGGCCTCCAGCCTCCAGCATGGCTCCAAGAGGCACCAGAAAGGCACTGAGACGGCTCCCCGAAGCGCCAAACGGAAGCCTGTCAGTGCATGTTCAGTTTCGTGCCTTTTCGCGTTCCCGTGCGCATCTGAGGCCTCAAGATGGTTCCGACATTCCCTGCATCACTCCTTTCATCGTCACCGACGTTCCCCCCTCATCCCCTCCTGTCACCATCGTTCGGTCGGATCCTAGAAACACTCCGCCGAAAGCCAACGATCCCAAGTGCGATGGAACAGACCAAGTAGAGACACGAAGAAAAGAGCACGGCAAGAGAGGGGGACAGATGCCCAGCCCTACCTCCAGGCACACAACGGCAGAAATCCCCTCTCACAAACCGAATCGCGCATCCCACAATTTTCTCCCACACCAGCGTTTCCTCCCCGCCCCCCAAACAATCCGACTGTGGAGCCCTTTTTACGACGCAGGCTTCTTTGGAGCTCTCGACCCCACGCACCCCGGGACCGGCGCATCGACACGGGTCATGTCCGAGGGCTCCCAACCCTTGCCTGCCGCCCTCCGCTCCCCCTCCCCCCACACGCTCAGCGTGCGCTGGATCGCGCGCGGACGGAAGGGAGGGCGGAGAGAGGAAGAGGAGGAGGAGGAGGAGGAGGAGGAGGAGGAGGAGGAGGAGGAGGAGGAGGGGGAAGAGGAGGAGGAGGAGGGGGAAGAGGAGGAGGAGGAGGAGGGGGCGCGGGCTGCGGCGGATAAGGACCGCTTTGCCCTCAGCGCGCGAGGAGGAGGGGGTACTAGAATTGCATCGGGGAAGCTGCACGAGAGAAAGCATGGCAGCAATAAAAAAATGATTGCACTGTTTGACTTCCCGTACGTTATAACAGCATGAACTGGCGCTTGGGCCAAACGGCAGCGGCAACTCGTAGTTGAGTCGCAGTCGCGCGGGCGATCGAACAGCTCTGGCGGAGAAGGGAGACCAAGGAAGAAAGGAATCAGAACTGCCAAACTCCAGCGCATATGAGACTCAGCAGGGAGACCCCGTCGCTGTCAGACCCCGGCGCACGCAACGCGACAGAACGTGGGCTCACCCTGTTGAACGATTCGCTCGCCTGTGCTCGCAGGAGTGGCACTGGAAGAGCTCACACACGCGCGATTAGTGGTGGCGCGAGTTCTCCCAGGCTACATCTGTGCATGCTGGTGACCTCGGGCCGCAGACGCGACGCCTGAAAGCCTGTCCTAAGACTCGGGCGAAGTGATGGCCCAGGGGCCACGTGGAGAGCTAGGCGGAGGTGCGGCGACGCCATGACCTGGCAGGCGGGCGAAGGCGATGGATGGAGAAAGACCTCGAGGAACGCGCGCTCTTCATAACACGATCACCTCGAAGCTCACCGCAATCACGAGTTGCGAGAGCCGCTCCCTCCACGACCAGAAACCACCTCCTCGCCGGGCGCGCGGGGCGCCTCCGCCCCGTCGGCCTCGGCACCGCCCGCGGGCGAGGGCTGGCCTGCTTCGCCGGCGGCCGCCGCGCGGAGGGCCGCGCTGGCGCGCCAGCGCGTGACCGCCCCCCCGGCCCTGCGCGTCTTCCTCTTGTTGGGCAGGTCCTCGTCGGTCTCTGGCGTGGACTCGCCCCTGCTCTCGCCCCTGCTCCTGCCACTGCCAGACACGCGCCTCGTTGACCGCCTTGCAGAGGGCCGAGTGCCGCAGCTATTGGTCACAAGCCGACGTCGCCTCGCGGCCGGGGCGTCGCCGAGACTACCTCTCGGCCCGCGACGAGTCGGCTTCCAGCGTGCCTTTTTCCAAGGGCAGGACGCTCGGCTATAAAAGACCAGCGCCGCTGACGCCTCGGCCATCGCGCCCCCCATCATCGCGGGGCAAGCGCGCGCCGCGCACTCCTCCTCGTCGGCGCCTCTCGCTACAGTTTCAGCCCTGGTGTCCTTCTCGGGGTCTGAGTGCGACGAGGGCCGCGCTGCTCGCGGCGCGGGCTGGAGGCCGACGCTGCCCCGTCTTTCGGCACCGCGCCCATTTTGGACGAGGACAAGAGCCGCGGCGCTCGTCGGCACCACGCCGAGCGGAGGTTCGGCGCACTGCGGCCGCGCGTCGCTCTGCCAGCCCATGGCATTGCGAGCCTCGAACGCGAATCTGGCGCGCAACTCTGGATCCATGACGCGGGTGGAGTAGAGACTTCGGCGGAGCAGCACCTCGGGAACTCGGCCGGCGATGCGCCACTGCCGCATGAACCTCGCAACTTCGGCGTCGCTCTTCCTGAGAACAAAGGCCCGAAAACCTTCCGCGAGCACCGAGGTCGGCATGTCGGCACGCGGCGCGGATGCTGCGCAGGCGGGCAGCAACCGAGCGCGGGGCGCGGAGACTGCGCGGACCCTGCGGGGAGACGGCGGGCGCAAGTGGGACAGTGGAAGACCTGGGACCCGATCGTGGCCTCGAGAGGCAGATGAGATTGAGGGGGCGCGCCCAGCCCCATTGAACTGCTGCACCTGGCGCTTTAACCGACGCGACTGATCCTGACTCGGCGGAGGCATCATCGGAGGCATGCCAGGAGGAAGGACAATGACCGGTTGCGCCTTCGGATAACCAGACATCGACCACGTGCCTGGAGGGGGCAGCGGAGATCGAGCACGCGTCTCGGCTCGACGCGCGGACGTCGCGAGCGCCGCGCGCCGCGTCCTCGGCGCGCGGAAGTCACGCCGGGGGCGCGGTCCGCGAGGGGCGAGGCGGCAGCGGCCCCGGAGGCCCCAGCGGCTCGTTTCGAAGCACGCTGGCACGCGCGCGCACGGCAGCGGGGAGCCGCCAGCGCGGGTCGACGCGCGCCGGCGCGCGAGCTGCGAACCGGCGACGAAGCGCGCTCCAGCCACGCGGCGCACAAGCCTGCTGCCGAGAAAACGGCAGCGGCATCATAGACGTTCATCCCTGATTATCCCTGCTACTTCCTGGTCCAGCACGCCCGAATACACATTCACGCCACAGCGCAGGCTGAACTCTGCGACGGCGAAACTCCAGACTACATCTCCTTCCGAACAGCCGCGCTGCAACATATATCCCAACCACCACGCGCAATCCAATGGGTCTTCCGAAGGGGGCGAGGATGGGGAAGGACTGATGGTTCCGAGGAGAATGGAGCACACGACAGTCCACAGACGAGCGCTGATAATTGTTAGTTGTCGGAGATCGGCTGGTCCAGATTGAGAGCACTGCGAGCTTGCCAGCCGACGTGAGTGTGACTGCGCACGGCGCGCGTGACCACTGGCGAGAGCCACCGGCCACGTCGACGAGGGCAGATATATCGATGCCGCCCTTGGTCAGTCCATCCGAGGTCATCTCGCGCGTCTTTACGCATCGTTTGGAGTCCGCAAATGGCCGATGTCCTCCTATACATTCGATTTCGCCTACCCAGCGCAGTACGCAGCCGCTGCGACGCCCCCGCCCCGAAGCCCACAAGACCCCTGAAATTTTACAACGACGACACTCACACCCCTGTCCTGTCTTCGATTTCTACGTATACTGACAAGCCTCATGGCACGGTTGACTCAAAGCACACCAGCATCGAGCGCGCTGATCTCATCGATGGTCACCCTCATCGTTTCAACCATCTCGAGACGATTCGACTCGCCCCCCTGCTGGGATGTTACCTCCACGTCGGTTTTGGCCCCTACGCCCCCCCGTAGGTCCGATGGGTCGCCAACCCTAGGCGGAGCAAGCGAAGCGACCTTCTCCGGATTGCCCCTGCAGCTCCATTCCATCAATCGCCAAAGCACGGTGACTCCACGGCGCGGACCTCCGAGGAGGCGCGGCGATAGCTTCCTGAAGTTGAAACCACGTCTCTTCGCTCGAAGCCTTCGCCTCGGCTAGCGTCTGATCGACGCCCTCGATCTCGCCCGCGCTCGTCCGATTGTCCGATGCGGCGCGGCCCCGCTCGCCCGTGAGATCTCGGACTGTCGTCGTCGACCTCCTCTTGCACGCAAACTCGTCTTGCCGAAATGCGGCCACTTGCCCCCTCGGACCCGCCTCGTCTCGCGCCACAACCTCGCGCCGTTCCTCGAGCGAGACTATCCACACTGCCAACAGCGCACCTGCTTCCTCCATGCTGTGCATATTCTGCTCTCCCATCGCAAGGACCTTCTCGATCTTGCCCTAGTCAAGGGCGACGGCGCAAGGTCCATCCATTGCGCTGTACGATTTGGCCTCGGCAGC